TCAAATCTCTGGCTTGTTCCGAACCAGAGCGGACACATTTAGGACCAAATATGAAATGTCGCGTTCTGTGATTCCAATTGGGGAAATGAACCCAGGGTCCATGTGTATTTGTTTATTCCCGGAAGAAGGAAGTTGTAGAAGGCGATGAAGACCGTGAATGAGGAGTCTTTTGAAAATAGGCAAAGGCTTCCCCAAGAGCTTATTCAGAGACTATTTGTCTGGAATTGGAACAGAGTGAGGGTTAAAGTGAGAATCTCCCAGATTTGGAACAGAGCATTTTTCTCTCCAAACACTAGTGTACAGGCAGCAATGTGGAAGAATCTATGGTTGAGCTTGTGGATCGGGAAAAGGACGGTGAAAAGCCTGGACCGACCCCAGGGAAAGACAGACAGGATTTTAAAGCGAGGAACACCACATTCCAGGCTTGAAACCAGTGCTAGCAGAGAAAGTGAGTCTCAGGCCAGGGCTGCTGGCCCAGAGGTCTCGCCTAGGGTCCCATGACAACCTTTAAAGAAGAGAGTGCATAGTCTGTTAACAAGCTGTGGCCCGATGGAGGAAGTTCAGGTGTCATTATTTTTAGCTACAGATATTGGAGGTGGAGATGTAACAATTAGAATCAAAACGAGATGGAAGTGGTGGGTGTGGTACAGAAGGATTGATTCATCTATTAAGAGGAGAACAGGTGGCAAGAAGAGAAATTAGGAAAATTAGATCATTGTCAGAGGGTGAAAGTCCAGCACTGCGCAGAGGGACTGTAAGGGAAGTAAATCAAACCAAATCAAAACAAAGCAAGATGACTGAAACCAGAGAGCTAAGGCAAGATAGGAGCAAAGTGGGGGCAAAAGAAAGCTCAAGGTACCTGCAAAGAGGAAACAATAAGGATTATCATGACGAGGGTGAACAGGGATACTGTGTGCAAGTACGTAGACCAGAGAGGGAAGTTTTTCAATTCTGCCAAAGACAAGAGCATGGAACCAAAATACTCACAAAATGTGGAATGGAAAAGTCACAGCCTTCTGTATTTCAAATCTAATTAAAGGAACCTATCAGATATCAAATACTAAGATATGAAAAATAAGAGTTCAAATGGGTCACTCATTCTTTTGTGCTGTCATGAAGATACCCTCATATCTAACAGATTGTTATGTGGGATTTTATATACATTTTGACTTGCCCAGGAAAATTCTAGGACAGCTTGGCATCCTTACATAATATTTAAAGTTCTTCTCCATAGTGTCCCACCTGGGCCCTGTGTTCTATGGCCACTGTAGTTATAAAAGCAACCCTTTACCACTGTGATATCATATATTTATTTTGCAATAAAAAGTTAGTGAAAAAAATGACTGGTATACAACACTGTCACTTGTTCATAAGCGACCAGAAAGATGTATTGAAACACAGGATGCATTCGACACTGTGACGGATGGGAAGAAGAACGGAAGGACTGTCTGTTCAGATGTATAACCTAGGGACAGTGCGGTTTCCCCCCGAGAACAGAAGACTCCACGTGCGTGAAGCCTTTGCTCTGGCTACATGAGAAGCTGACCACCCCGCTCCAGGTCCTAGAGGCTAGCGTCTTACAGAGGTCTGCTTTTGAGGTGCGTAAAGCTCAGAATTTCCTGGGTGTTCATTCAGCATGAAGTTTGCTAGGCTTCTTTGAAAAATACTTCTAAACTCTCCTAAGATTCATCCAGCTAAAACCACACGGTGGCTTAAAAACAAACAACACAACCATCGCATTTCAGGGCTGAGAACAGACACATAATAGGACTACAAGAGGAAAGGGGGCCTGCTTACTGACCAGAAGGCTGACTGTGCAGCCAATCTTCTTCCCATCGACCTCGCCCATTTTCATGCAGTCCCTGAAAGCACAACAGCAAGCGTCAGAGCCCAGAAACAATGTGCAAGGTGGGTGTTTGATAAAAACCATGGGTAACCCAGCCTGTGCTGGGTTGCGTGGTCTGTGGTCAGGTTAGAGGGTTGACCATGCAGCTGACTTCCAGCGTCAAGATTCGGCTCCGTTTCAACGTACCGGGCACACAGAGTACCTGGACTGAAGGGGGCTCGCTCTCCACCTCCTAAAGAGGGTCAGAAGCATCGATCGGTGTCTCTGGCCAGCTTCAATGAGGAAAGTAAGGGGCTCTGTCTTCAAAACAACCATCCCCACCAAGCCCCCTGTCAAACCTGACATAGGTTCTTGGTACATACTTTTCCCCCTATGCCTCAAATATATCAATGAATATAAGAGAAGAGAGGGGTAGGAACAAAACCCAACCAACTCAAATACCCTGTGTCAGTTACAAAATTACTGTAGTCCTTTAGAGAATTTTTTTAAAAGGAGAAAAAAAAGTCTATATTATCCCCTTCTTTTTATTCAGAGACTGGTGTGGTCATGCAAGTCTCTGTCCTATGGTCGCTACCCTGACATGGACAGTCTCATGGTCCACTAGGTGAGTTGAAATTGCTCCCTGCCCAACCCTCCACCCCAAGTCTCTTATAGAGGAAGTCTGAGACCCTCTCACTTCACCCCGAGTTTGAAAGAACTGTTCCAGCAAAATCAAATAGGAAACAAGGGAAACAAACCCCAAATAAAACCCCAGAGCCGGCCAGTGAGACGACCATAAGCTCACGGCAAAGATTCCAAAGGGCTGAGGAGCCTCCCGGGGGCTGTTAATTGTATGCTATTTGCTCTTCTACTGGGGGCCCGGGACTCAGCTTACCTGTAATCTAACAACCTCTCCATTAGACGGGTGACAGTAGCGATTAATGAAACGCCACTTTCCCTCCATGTTTCCCGCTCAATTTTCTTTAGCAGACTGGAAAAGAAAGAACCCAGGGCATTTTCAACATTTATTTTTATCAGTCACCATGACAACCATTTTACTTTCATCAGTACCTTAAACGTCTTAGCAACCACTGCCACAGTGCACAAGCAGCACGATTTGCAAACAATGTCTTACCTAGGATAGGGACCAAAGAGTGGAATTCTAATCCGGGAAGCATTGACAAAGCAAATTGATTTTCAGATTATCCAAGTCATCAATACGAGCACATGCATATCATCATATTTTCAAAAGACACAAGCACCTCAGAGCTCAAAGTCATTTGGTCCCCCTCGCTCCTCTCAGGTGACAGCCGAGGCTAGCACCTGGCCACATCAAATACCACTGCGGAAAGCGACAAGGAGTGCCGCCAACTTTACTTTTCAGCCAGACCTTGCTTTAGCCACATAAAAATGTTCTCCTACCTCTCGGTGGAATGCATCTTCCTCCAAGCAATTTTACTGCACTGCAACGGCCACAGGAAAATCCTTGCACAGACGGGATGACGTTTCGCGTTTTTTCCTTTCACTTAACATTTGCCCACTCAATACATATTGTACTCTCTGTGCACTCACTCGACAGTTCATTCATTCTGTCATTAATCACCGAGGATTTTCTCTGTGGTTCTTACAGCAGATGGATGGCAAGCGCAAGCGCCGAGCCACATCTTTCCTCCCACATTCCCCCTAATCCTAAACACCTTGGAGCGGAGAGGCACTATGTAAACACAAAATAATAACAATCTTAATCATTAGAATCTGTGTTACTTCACACCCGGTCTCTCTCTCTCTCTCTCTCTCTCTCTCTCTCTCTCTCTCTCTGCAAATTAAGAAAAGACTTGGCAAAGCTTTTATGATCCAACTTGCCTCCAAAGACCAAAGTAAGAGCACAAGCTTGGCCACGTGAGAACACTTCTCCAACCCTCTAGGTTTAATGAGCATCATTTCTACCTAAAGGCTTGTTTCCCTCTCGTCTTGGCTTCAGGGATAAGATGGGGAGATGGCATTTCTTACAAGTACAGTCTGAGCCTATCATAGATTGTGCATAGTGGGGAAAAGAAACATTAAAGAAAAAAAGGAAGAAAAAAAAAGGCGATATTGTCCAAGCTTTCATTTGGCTGTGGTTTTATCCTCTCCTGATCACCCCCCCCCCCCCTGTTGTTTCCTTGATAGCTGCCCTCTCAATGCCCAGCCTTCTCTCTTGTCTCCTCCACTGTTGTCTGTTCATCTGACATCATCTGGTTTTCTAGCTCATTCTGTTTCCTAGATGGGGGTGGGGATGGGGTGCCCAGCATACATAAGGGATGGGGCTGTCCCGGACAAGTTCTACAGAGGACGGTCGGTCCGACCTGTGCTTTGTTAAAAATGCATGTTCTTTAAGAAATCTCTGAGGAGCACCTGTTTCATGCCTAAATGCCAAAAAGATACTGAACCAAGGACTCAAACGAAAATCTGCCAAAGCAATGAGGGATGAGGGAGCCATCTCCCCAAGGGATAGCCGACACCTCACTTGCTTTGGAGGCTCAGAAACAAAGAACTCAAGTAGTGGTGATTCTAAAAATGTGTGGAAGCTTTTCTGGACAGGATTTCATTAGTTGGTACAGCCTCCTGTGCAAGCAAGGAAGCCAAGCCCCATAATCCTCTTGCAAGGAGAGGGAAAGTTCTGCACAGCCTGTTTCCTTGACTAAGTCAAGACTAAAAGTTAGAGCCGAATCTAGAACCTGATTCATCTGCTTTCTCATCAGGCTTATATATTCTATTGGGAAGTTGGCCATTTCTCAGTTTACTTGAGACAAACTGAGAAGGGGAGGCTGTAGGCAAGAAGAGAAAAGACAAATTTCTCGCTCACTTGGATGAGGTCTGGCATTTTCATTTGGCCTACAGTCATGTCCACGGGCCCACGGGGAGTGTACGGGAACCCATCTAGGAAGAGTGAAAGGTGATTGCTCCTAGCCAATCAACAAGGCTAATCTGTTCAATGTAAGGGGACCCTTTAACAGAGGAGTTTGACAAACACAAGCCCGGCAGGCTGACCTACAGCTCACAGGTCTTTTCTCTAGGAAAGAATTATATGGGGGCAAGGTAGAATGGGATTTGACCTTCAATCGCCTTTCCCTCCTTTTCATGGCATGATTATATTGAGCTCATCACTGTTATACCCAACCCCTGTGTCCCTGCAGGCTCTACTCAATCCAGAGAAGAGCATGAGATACCTAGGCCCTCAAGTTGCCCAGCTAATTCTCTGCCCCTCACTGTAACAGAATGTGAGATCACAAAATAATGATCTTTGAAATGATCTCGGGGTTTTACTGGATTATTTAGAGCTATGAACAAGAATATTAAGCAAAGGACTAGGGAAAGAACAGAGAGGGATGCCACTTTGTTCAAAGGCCCATCAAAAGTTCTTAAGACAGCTTGGCTACCCTTATAGGGTAGGTACCCCTACAGCACAAGCCTGTTGCATCCAGAGACATCTCGAGACATGCAACAGAGCAGGTACTCCGGACATCATGCCAAATGATAATCCAGAGAAGCCAGGGAATAGAGTTTAGTTCTCAATAGGCCAAATTGGCAGTTATGATCTATGAGCTTGGCATGATCATAAATCCTTGGCTCCTACATACTTCAGAATGAGGTAGTAAGGGCTAATGGAGATCATGTTAGGGGTACAAAAAGATAAGCTGAATTCTGAATTAGGAAGGTACTATAAATTTAAGCTCTTGCTCCACAGGGCCTATTTTGACAAGTATTGTATTGTCAGGAAGCAGGGAGAGCTACTTCCACTGGAGCAGCGTTTTAAGAAGCTTTAGGCATGAATTACAGAGAACAAATGAGAATCTGTACCATAACTCCATGTGCTCCTTAATTCGCAATACGAGCACTGACTCACTGTGACTACACTAATTCACTGTGCTTTCTATTGCCAAAAAAGCATTTTATTGTTTCCTGAGATACAGTTCAGTTTTCACTTCCTTTGGGAGCCCAGGTAGAAATGATATTTAATTATCAGTTCACATTTGACTTATTCCCAATACACTGATGATAAAAGTATCTGTACACTGAAGAAAGAAAAATATTTATGGTAACAATTCTAGTAATGCACTAAAAATCAACAAGGGAATAAAAATCTCCCTGGAATGAATCAGGCACCTTAAAATAGTCCTAATTACAGAGCTTAATATTTTAATTATTGGTTTGAATCTAATGTCAAGGTAGATCTTCTCTTTCAAAGTCATATTGATACACAAGCAGTCTAAATCGCACACAACCAGGCCTTTGTTCAAGTGGGTAAGAAGCACTATAGAACTGTGATAGTATTTATTAATATTGTTAACTTATTATAAATAATTAACACAAATCTCAAGAGATTCATTCCACTGAATGCTCTCTCATTTTAGTTCTTTGTTCAAACCAAAGACTCATAACTGTAATGAGAGCAGTTTTCAAAAGCAATTTATTATATTGGATGAGCTTTTAATCAGAATTCTTGCTAAACTACAGCTGTCATGGAGGATAGATGCTTGTATGCTGAAATGAATGAGGACTTTGTGACTAATTATTAAAGTTCTGCTTTAATTATAGTTTCAAAAAAAAAATGGTGCTGGTGCCGTTCAGGATTCCTTTGCAAAAAGTGTATTTTATTACTCACCCTCATCAAAAGGAATCTATATAACCCTTCCCAGCATTTCCTCTCAATAGAGCTTTTCCTAAAGTTTTGAAAATTATTTGAAGCGGGTTAGGTTGGAATCTCTCTAGCCTGCCGGTCACTAATAATGTTTTCAAGCATAGATTATTGACTGACTCCTGGTTACCCTCCATGTCAGCGAGTCGAACGATCTTTTCCTCTGTAGAGTTACTGGATGCTTCTGCACCTGCCTACCTTTTAGTTAACAATCAGTCACAAACCATGAAGAGCACCTAGGCTCAAGGTGAGAAAATCGCAAAGTCCTTTTACAGACTCCAGTACACCTCCATCCTCCATTCAAATCCTCAAACACACAAAATTGACTAAAACGGCTTTCCTTCTATGATCTTCTAATGGGAGACATTTAACAAGCAACTTAAAAGCCGAGTGAGCCATCAGTATCAATGAGTTTAATCAAGTGCTGACAAACAGAAGCAAGCTAGGTTAATTTTCCCCGCAGCAAACTAGCCAAGGATCCCAGGCTTTGAAAAGCATTGCGCACAAGCATGATAGTCACCCCAGTTTAATTTTTGTCCTTCCTCAATTCTCAACTAGATTCAAAATCATTACCTTGTAGCACGGATTTTAAAATGATCAAGAATAAAGAGAGTGAGGTGTTTTAATTTCTTTGTTGTAACATATTTTTTAACTATCACACATATGGCTGGTCCTAATTGGAGACTGAAATAAACATATACAATCATCAACATAGTAAGAGCCATTCACTAGAGATTGGCAACTTTCCTTTCATTCGCCACCCCCACCCCACCCCAGACAAACCCTCCTGTGAGACCAAAGCTATCTTTGTAGCTCTCAGCTCCAGCGCCACCATGAACCTGCACTACTGACACCACACCCCTGGACAGCACTGACAGGAGAGAAACGCGCTACTCACATACTGTTGAAGAGCTCGCGGTACGTCTCGTCACCTTTGCCTTCAGACATGAGGCTATCCAGTTTGTCGATTAGCTTGGCTTCCACCTGAAACACACCCAAAGATTATTCTCTCTCTCCTCGCCATCACACGTAGGTTTTCTAGGCAAATAGAAACATACCTATGTGTGCAAGGGCACATGTCGCAGTCAATTTTGGGATAGTGACGATATCAACTGTGGTGAACAGCAGACACCTGTCCTTGGAATCCAGGGGGTCGTTGAGCGGGGACTACATGACTTTGGACACCCAGCTGGGGAGCACATGCTACTCCCAAAGACCTCCATCTATTTGTTGGTTCAAGCACAAATGCTGCTAGCCCAGCTTCACTGCTTGCAGCCTTTTTTGTAGGCGCTATCAAAACTGGCAAGAGTTATCTTTCTTTAAAAAAAAAATTCTTCTAAATATATCTCTACCTTATGTGCAGATATTTATGTATAAGTATATATGTATGTGTGTTTCTATAGATATGAACATTAGCAAACTAATAAATTCACAGACATTAATTAAATCTGTTTGCTTTTTTCACATTTCCCAGGGATACACTGAATCCTCACTGAATTTCAGAACCCATCCTATCCACGTACAAATGGCAGATACAGAAAACGATTTCAAGTCATCAGTAAGGAGCTTGAGCAAGAAAGGGAATACTTGCTGAACAAAATGTGGTAAAACATTTACATCTGAAAGGGCATAAATTCTCTGGAACCTGAAGGTTCAGGGAGTGGGGGTGGGGTGGGTAGGAAATCGCTTCATCTCTCTGAGGCAGACACTGGAGGAGGCACCATGGTTATACCCTTGGCCGATAACTATGAGGTTAGTGGTCCAACCGTCCGATTTCTTGGAGAGGAACAGCCTCGGGAATGGGGAGCAGCTCTGCTCTGTCTTACAAGGGTGCTTTGAGGCAGCATCAACTCAACAGGAGCAAGGTTTGGTATTCTGAGAGAGATCCCCAAAACCTTTGCAAGGCTACCGAGATAAAAAGGATTAGGAACTGAGCGAGTATATTTGACTTTGCCAGAGAACGAAGTTGTCATTCCTTTGAATCTTATTTCTAACAAGAGCTAAAGACAAGGCAGAAGGAAAGTGTTTCTCTCCTCGTCTCTCAGCCAAGGAATGTAGTAGGCTTTCACTCACCCGCCATATCCGCACACATGGAATGTCCACTCAGGGCAACCTGATGTGCGGCAGAGTGGATCTATGTTCCAGAGGATTTTGGCTGAGTGTTCATAGTAGGTCCCTAAGCCCCTGAGGTGCTTCTGGGTCCACTTGAACACCTCTGACTTTTCAGTCAGCAGCTGAGTGCATCAACTCTTTGCCCCACCCTGGGACTCCCATTTGCCTAGTCCTTCTCTTGAAAACAAATGCAGATCTTGACAGAGGTGAAATACCTGTGCGTTTGGCAATAGAAGGGCTCCATGAATATATTCGAATTTCTCAGGCAGTTGCCAATCAGTTTCTCTGAATTGAGGAAGGCTTCATTTGGTGCAGCATGAAGGAGAGACAAATGCCACGAGCATATACCATTAACCCAGGCACTGTTTAGAGAGGTAACAGCCTACTGTCTCCAGCTTGAGGGCCTTGACATGGCAAAATCAGGAAAGTACGCAATATGGTTTTGCAATAAGAA